AGCAGGCAAATCAAACTGAAGAGATAAGGAATCAAGACAAATATTTAGCCAATGAACAACACTATTTAAACAAACGAGATGTCAGAGAGATTTAAAAAAAAAAAAAAAAATTTGTGCTTTTAAACTTTTGAATCCAGCACAAAAAACGAATTTGAGAGATGTCCAAAAATATATTTTCTCCTACAAGTAAATTATTTATAGAGGGTAAATGGCAATGTCTTGTCATATAGAACTTAGAATAACATACACAGATACAAATGGCACATTGAAGCAGAAAGCATTTTCAAATGTTTGCTTTGAAAGAAAAAAAAAACAAAACCATTGTTACTATGGTGATGCCTCAATACAAAGAAACAACTAACAGGCAGAAATGCATAACAAATCCAAGTCACTGGCATTTTTTATGACTAATTCCAACGTATCATCATCTTGTACTCTCCATTGGTGCATGCGTTGCCCTGGTTACCGGATATGGGGGTGAAGATCTATATCCTATTCACAGTGTGACTACACTGCTCCTGAAGAAAAGGAGAAGCCCAAATTTCCCATCAGGCTGAGCGTCCACACAGACCTGGGGTTTGTCTCAGGATGACAGGAAAGCCAGAGTCTCCCAAAGAAAAGACACAGACAGGAGAAGAGGATCGGGGTGGCAATAGTCAATTGATGACAAAAAAGAAATGGAGATAAGGAAGCTTCAAAACAGAGAAAAACACAGTCAGTCAGCTCTAAGGACCAGATGGCCCATGGCTTAGAGAAACAAGCACGCCGTCGGCCTCCACTCGGGAACTCTGAGCTGAATGGCTGGCGGTGCAGCATCATTCTGTCCAGATACAAACTCAGGCTAATGAAAGCACCTGCTGAATAGAGACACTGTAGGGAGTCTGGTAGAATAACCCAGGCAACACCGTGAAGTCATCTGGGCACAGCTAGAACTAGAAGCCGTGACTATTTCATGTTAAAGTTGTAACCACTTACAGAATGGAATATCCTTTTATTTTCTTTATTGAGGAATTCTTTCTTTGTTGATGATGCCGAGGTTTGAATTTAGGGGCCCTGCGCTTACCTAGCAAGCGCTCTACCACTGGAGCCATGACCCCTGCCCTCTTTTGGTTTTTGTAAGTACTTGTACAAAGCACTGTCAATGGCACGTGTGCTTTGTAAGTACAAATGCATCATGATTCTTGTCACCCCTTCCATCTTCCTCCCCCATCTCTCCTAACCCCACCCATCCCTGCAATGGTCCACATCGTCACATTGAATAGTAGGAATGCATTCACCCATTCTTCCTCTCTCCGTCTGTCTACTGTCCCCCCGCCACTCACTCCCCCTCTTCCCCTACCTCACCCTTACATACACATTTCAGCTTCCTGGTACTCATGTCCTGAGACTGTAATTTCATTGTTCAAAAGCGATACAACACTGAAATCCTCCCCTGCATATCATACTTCAGTTCATGTGTGTATGTATCAATGCATATGACCCAGTGTATGTTTACATACATATGTATTGGAATATCCTTATAAGACAGGTCATCGCCCAGGGCCTTTTGCTTATTCTTACCCAGATTGAAAGAAATACCACCCGCAAATGGAAGTGAATATGAGAGACCCCCTGTTAGCCCCATGAACTCCCTTCAACCCAAAAGCACAACAAATAAACTCTCATTTCCTCCTTTCTCCTCTTTCTAATACCTGATAGACAAAGAAAGACAATGAAGATAAAATTTGACAAAAAATAAAATGTTGACTGACCTTCACCTGTTCATATCTCTACTTATGAACACAGGAGGAAAAAAACTTATAAAAGATGCAGATGAGTCGTTCAATTTCCATAAACAAACACTACACCTGGCCAAGCAAACTTTTCTCTTTAAAAGCTGAATGGGGAAGATATTTCAATACATAGAGAACCTTAAGTTACCAACCAACTTTAAAGCTGCAAAGCATAGGATCAGACAAAGCACAGGCCTAGAAAAATGATCAAAAGCTTTTTGGGGAGATGTAGAGCTGAGAACACAAACAAGAGACAAGGTTAATGGCCCATGTAAACTGAGTCGGTAAATTAAACACGATGTCGTGAGAATTGCAAAATGAGAAACATCACATCACAAGAGGAATTTCACACTGCCAAGAAATGTAAAACAAAATGAGCCTGAAGAACAGCCTAGAAGACTGAGCCAAGGGCTAGAGTTATTATTCTCATTAAAAGGGAGTTCAAAGTCATCTTGCTTAATGGTTGGAATGACTAATAGAAGTAGTAAAAACAGTTGTGTTTAAATTTGTTAATGTTAAATTGGGAGCGTAAACCGAGCAGCCTTCCTACCTAGTAAGACGTGTTCAAAGTAGATTATAGAAGAGTGAGAACAGTTACCGTATGTTAAAAATTCTGTTGATGCTTTAAAAAAGAAATCAGAAAAAAACGTTAGATTACTTTTGGCAAATTTCTGACTTCATTTTAAAATAAGTAATGATGAAAGGCATTGATTTCTACTGGTTTTCTCCCTCCCTCGAACCCTCTTCCAATCTTGCCCTGTCTGTCACTCCCTCCCCTCCCCTCTTCTCTCTCCCTCCTTGTCTTTCCCTCTCTCCTAGTTTTCCTCCCTCTCTTTTTCTCTCCCTTCCCCATCACCTGGCACGTTCTCTTTGCTCAATTCTCTTAAACTTTGGCAGAACTTTGTGTGTGTGCGTTGGTCCTGGGGCTTTAATTCAGGGCTTGGGCACTGTTCCTGAGCTTATTTGCTCAAGACTAGTGCTCTACCACTTGAACCAGAGCTCCACTTCTGTCTTTTTTTGGGTAGATAATCAGAGGTAACAGTCTCATGGACTTTCTTTCCCAGGCTGGCTTCAAACCCCACTCCTGAGCTAGGATTCCAGGCCATGAGCCACTGGCTAACCTCCGACGGAATTTGTAAATGGCAATGCACTCGTTTAAGTAATGGAAAGGTATCCTGCATCAAAGCTTTTTTTAATCTTTTTTATTTGTTTTTGGTCAGTTGTGGGGCTTGAACTCTGGGGCTGGGCGCTGTCTCTCAGCTCTTCAGCTCAAGGATAGCACTCTACCACTTGAGCCACAGCGCCATTTCCAGTTTTCTGAGTGGTTTGTTGGAGATAAGAGTCTCACAGCTTTACCTGAACCGTGATCTTCAGATTTCAGCCTCATGAGTAGCTAGGATTACAGGTATGAGCTACCGGCACCCAGCTTTAATCACTTTGTAAAAAGTATTTTCTTTTGTTTTTTTGTTTATGTGGTACCAAGGAATTGAACCCAGGGCCTCATACACACTGGCTAAGTACTCTATCACTAAGCCACATTCCCAGCCCCTTTTTAAATCACTTTTGTCTGAGCATCACATGTACACAGGTAACTGGAAATTTCCTAAATTTTCGGAGCTGAATTTTTCAATCCTAGTGAGGACACGTTCCAACTCACCTAAGTCAATGAAGATTTAACTACATAGGTTTTTTGGTTTTAAGCTGTCTCAGTTTTTTTAAGTCCACGAATATGTATCATGTTATAATCACACACAAAAGACGGCTTTCTTTGTGCAGTTTCTACTCACAGAATGAAAATACTTATTATACATTGAAAAACAAGTAAACACAGCCAAGTACTTAGGTGCATAATTACTCCCATAGTAAATGAGTTATTATTGCTTTTTTGTTTCCCTAAGGTCTTCAAATATACCCGTACCTACTCAGAGGAGTGGGGATTTCATTGTCAAAGGGTGGCTGGGGTCATTCTGTACAGGTAAGGGACTGGCTTGAGACTGCATGGGAAGGCACCAAGGCCAAGCTGGGGATAATCAGAGGGACAAGATGCCCAGGTATCCAGAAACCACCACAACAAACCACCACCCTGGGAATCATAATCCTCCCCTCCTTCTACCTAAGAAAAACCTTCACAAGCCTCCTCTGAGGACTACTCCTCCCCCGCAGGGCAAACTTACTTTATCCAAGCTTATAAGATAGATGAATAAAAATCACAGACTTAATCAGTGTTTCACAATAAGGAATCTATGCTGGGTGCCAGTAGCTCACAACTGTAATCCTAGCTATTCAAGAGGCTGAGATCTGAGGATCATGGTTCAAAGCCAGCCCAGTCAAAGTCTGTGAGACTCTTATCTCCAATTAACCACCAGAAAACTAGAAGTAGAGCTGTGCCTCAAAGTGGGAAGAGTACTAGCCTTGAGCAGAAGAGCTCAGGGACAGGGGCTGGGAAGGTGGCTCAGTGGTAGAGTGCTTGTCTTGCATGCATGAGGCCCTGGGTTCAATTCCCCAGCACCACATAAGCAAAAAGAAAAAAAGCTGGAAGTGGTGCTGTGGCTCAAGTGGTAGAGCGCTAGCCTTGAGCTGAAGAGCTAAGGGACAGCGCCCAGGCCCAGAATTCAGGCCCCACGACCGGACCCAAAAAAAAACAAAAGAGCTCAGGGACAGCGCCTGGGCCCCAAGTTCAAGCCCAGCACCAGCACGAAGGAAGGAAGGGAGGGAGGGAGGGAGGTGAGGAGAGGAGGGAAGGTGGGACGGAGGGAGGTCTCAAGAGAAAATGCTTAAACTGAGTCTCCAAAGATGAATGCTTGCCCCCTTGCAGCTGAGTGAGGCTGGGAGGGAAAGAAGGAAGGAAGGAAGGAAGAAAGGAGGGAGGAAAAGAGAAAAAGGGGAGGGGAAGTAAGGGATTCCACATCAACCATTTCCTTCACAAAGTTCCGTTTTCCAATTTTCCCAGTATTGCCTAGTATGCAAATCGACACCAAAAGAAATTAAGCATCAGTCCCTGAGAATATAATTCTCCCATGTTGCCAAGGTTGCTCATCATAAAAATCACCCTTAAAGCAGAAGATAAGCAGTAAGATCCGTATCAATGGAACCATGTGGCAATCCCCTTTTAAAAATGGACCAACAAATGATGTTTTTAAGGAGTCCTAAGGTTCTAAAAGGCATGACTCCCACCTACAGTAAAGGTAAGACCCACTCCACAGTGTATGAGCTACAAAAGTTACTCACTGCGTACTGGAACTTCTCATTGAATTCACGGTCATTGGCCTTCACCATCCGCTCCACTTCTAAAGAAAAAGAAAAATCAGATATGAAGTTATATTTTAGACCCACAGAAATACACATCTTATTAAAATTCTGTCATGTAGGTTACTTTGTTGTCAGAGGACAGAGATCCTTTCTTTTGTCATTGAAGGATGGTGCTTTCTTCTTCTTTTTTTCCTAGCCTAAATATTGGAACTTCTGTTGGAAATCCTCAAAATGGAAAGCTGAAATGTGTCTCATTGTCTTCTTAATACCATCCACACTGAGACACATGAAATGTCACCAATTTCTATTTCTACTCTACAAAGACTTTCCCTAAGCCTCAGTTCCTAAAGGCATGCATAAAGAAAAGTCACTTTTAAAGATTAAACAACAACTCCCTCTAGTCTCCAAGCTTGCCTTTCTGCCTTTCTACATGGAACAGGGGCCGGTGAGATACATCAAGGATACCAAAAACATCATCAGCTCACAAGTTTAAAAGATGAGAGGAATTCAACTATCCTACTGGGGGAGGGGGGAGAGAGAGAGAGAGAGAGAGAGAGAGAGAGAGAGAGAGAGAGAGTGCATGTGTATGTGTGCACGTGCATGCACGTACCAATCCTGAAGCTTGAACTAGGGCCTGGGTACTCTCCCCTAGCTTTTTCACTCCAGACTGGTGCTCTACCACTGAGCCGCAGATCCACTTCTGGCTTTGTGCTGGCTACTTGAAAATCAGAGTCTCACACACTTTCCTGCCTAGGATGGCTTTGAACCACAATCCTCAGATCTCAGCCTCCTAAGTAGCTAGGATTATAAGTGTGAGCCACCAGAGCTCAGTGGTTTTGTGTGTGTGTGTACATAAGAGAGAGAGACAGAGAGACAGAAGTGAGGGTTTAGGTAAAAAATTCAGGGAAAAAATTCTCTCAAGTTCTTAATCAATAACTTAAGCTTTCCTCTCTTCATTTTCTTTCATTCTGCACAATCTGGTCCATGTGGTTGGAAGCCAGCACAATTCATTAAAACCATGAAGCAAGAACAATAAGTAGAGGGAGCTTTAAAGAGAAGAGTTCCCCAGCCTCCAAGATTTCTTCATTGGATTACTCCAAGAACACATTCTGATACAATTGAAAAATATGTGTCTTGAACTGGAGAGTTTCCTATTGAAATTCCATGGTGACCTGCAGTGACATTTAAGCAGAAAACTAAAGAGAACCAAAGGAAAGGGGGAAGAAAATGTCCCACTTAAAAAAATTCTTATTCTCACAAAAGAGCTTCAAAACAAAGTTAAGGGACTGAACAAATACTAAAGGCCTTGCATTTGTTTCCCTCCTGACCCTCCAAATTTTCTCATCATGTCCTAATGATAAGCTTCAGAAAGAAAATAAAACATTTATTCCAATTTATCCTCCTCCTAGCATGAACTGGGTTATGTAACTTAAGGAAAAGTGACAAGATTTTCTGATGAGCCCTTGGCACGTAGCTATTAGTACATATGTACAGCTGCAGAGTTCAATTTTACTAGAATAAGGTCAGCAATAACAGTGAAGGTTCATTGACTAGTTCTTAAAAGTTACATCCCCATCCTAATTGCCACTGGCTCATGTCTATAATCCTAGCTACTCAAGAGCCTAAGATCTGAGAATCACAATTCAAAACCATCTCAGGCAGTAAAGTCTTTGAGAATTATCTCCAATGAACCACCAAAAAGCTGGAGTAAAGCTGTGGCTCAAGTGGTAGAGCACCAGCCTTGAGCAAAAACTTGAATTCAAGCCCCACTATTGGCATACACACACAAGATTTTCCCAAATACCATAAGTCCTAAAAGATGGGGGTATTTAAAAAGACTAAGAGGGGGGGCTAGGAAGGTGGCTCAGTGGTAGAGTGCTTGCCTTGCATGCATGAGGCTGTGGGTTCGATTCCTCAGCACCACATAAGCAGAAAAAGCCAGAAGTGGTGCTATGGCTCAAGTGGTAGAGTGCTAGCCTTGAGCCAAAGAGCTGAGGGACAGCACCCAGGCCCAGAGTTCAGGCCCCACGACCGACAAAAAAAAAAAAAAAGACTAAGAGGGAATTCCTCCTGCCTTTAACATTCAGACTCAAATTGAAACACTGGCTCTTCCTGAATCTTAAGCAGACTGGAATACCATTGGCTCACAAGTCTCCAGTCTGCCAACTGTACATCTGAGAATAAGATAGGAAGCTAATAGATAGATGAGGGCTGGGAAGGTGGCTCAGTGGTAGAGTGCTTGCCTTACATGCATGAGACCCCGAATTCAATTTCTCAGCACCACATAAGCAGAAAAAGCCAGAAGTGGCACTGTGGCTCAAGTGGTAGAGCGCTAGCCTTGAGCTGAAGAGCTGAGGGACAGCGCCCAGGCTCAGAGTTCAGGCCCCACCACCACCACCAACAACAAAAAAAGGTAGATGACAGATGCATTAATTATTGACTGATAGATGAAAGATAGAAAGATGGTATGGATGTATGACAGATACACAGATGATAGATACAGGTGATAAAGATAGGGAGATGAAAGATAGATAGATAGACAGACAGACAGACAGACAGACAGACAGATGATAGACCCTATTATTTCCATTCCCTGAAAACACATAACACAATGACTGTATATCAACTTTGTGAATAAAAAAATACTTAACTCAAGTTCTTTGCCTGGATTGCTAGCAATCCATGCAATTCATTTCATGGATTACAAACTCAGTGACCCAAACATACAAATTAATTCTCCAAAAACGACTACCCAAATGCAATGGAAACCTAACTGTAGATCAACAGTACTACGCTAGACCAGGACAGTCAGATTACGCTGTGAAGATTGGGTCCTGGGGCCAATGAACATGCCAAGAGCATCAGAAAGTGTTTCTACCATAAGGCCATTAGTTGCTCAAGCACCTATGCAGCCAACCCCCAGCTTCCAGAAGGAAGTACCAAATCTGTACTCTGGATTTCAAGGTCCAGAATGAGAATGAGGCCAGCTCTTCAGAAACCTGAGCAGCAGAAGCAATCTCTCTCCGCTGCTTACCTGGGATGCACACAGGCACTCTGAGAGGCTGCAGCTTCCATATTGTGACCAAGATGACTTATCTAAACATGAAAGGCAGAGTACCTACACCCCAACATGCTTTATTGGGGGCAGTATTGGTATTTGAACTCAGTTTTCCCTTTGCTCCGGCTAGGCAAGGACTCTAGCACTTGAGCTACACCCCCTAGCCTTTCTTTTATTTTTTCACTTAAAGATGGGGCCTCACCCTTCTACCTGGGGGAACCTCAGGCTGAAATCCTCCACTTCCCATGTAGCTAGGGATCACCGGGAACCATGACATCCAATTGATCGGTTGACTGGGTTAGCTTCAAATCACCCTCCTCCTACCTTCACCTCCAATGTAGCTGGGATTAGAAGCATTCAATAACACACACACACACACACACACACACACACACACCACACACACACACACACACCCTCTAAAAGCCCTTCCAGGGTTTTAATTTTCATTCCTTTTAAAATCAGAAGGAAAAAATATAATAACAGATCCATGATAATGGATCCAACATGAATCCTATTTGTCTTTGTATTGACAAGAGTCATAAAACATAACTTTTTAATATTTGTTTAATGAAGGAAGGAGAAAATAAAGGCAAAAAGTGCCTCAAGACATAGAAGACAGAAAGCAGTCCTGCTCTGAGTCTTGCCACCCCACTGCTCATAAACATTTTGAGGGCTCCCCTTGTGGCATAATGTGTCCCTGCTCCAACAGCTCCTTTTGGAATCAAGAACAGCTTTAGCTACTTTGAAGAAGGCCCTTAATGATCGACTTCTTTTGCTTCCCATATTACCAAAGTAATGAGATCTGAATTCAAGTTTTTACCCATGACCCACACTCTCTGGGCTGCTTTGAGGAAAAGCACAGACACGCTTTCGGACAAATTGGCCTTTGAGTCTCCAGTGTAGGCTATACAGCAAGGGTAAAATCACCAAGGGCACACAGAAAAAAATCATCCAAGCCAAGTCAGTGAGCTGGGATTTCTCACATCTCGAAGAGTATGGCTTGTGTGTGAACGTGGAAATCATAGAGAAGAAAGCCTATCTCAGGGAAAATTCTGATTTCCCACCCTACCTATGACAGATTGCTATATCTCCCCACACACTCTCAATGTCCTACACTTCCTGGAGATGCCAGCTGAGTTTCGACACATGACAGCACAGCTTTCTTCAATGTTTTAGACAAGGTACTGCTCCGGAGTCACAATATTACCTCTGCTGACTGTTTCCCCCTGGAAACCCCAGGGTTGATCCAAAGGCCTCTATGCTCTGGGAAATACAACATTTTCGTGATGTTTAGTAAACTATTTTTTCCCATTTTTTGTTTTTTTGTTTTTTTTGGTTCCGGTTGTGGGGCCTGAACTCTGGGCCTGGGCGCTGTCCCTCAGCTCTTCAGCTCAAGGCTACCACTCTACCACTTGAGCCACAGCACCACTTCCGGCTTTTTTCTTTTTGCTTATATGGTGCTGAGGAATCGAACCCAGGGCCTCGAGCATGCAAGGCAAGTGCTCTACCACTGAGCCACCTTCCCAGCCCTTTTTTCCCATTTTTTAAGGAAGTTGTACAAAGGGGTTTCAATTCAACAAGACAGATTGTGAGTGCAAGCAAGGCATCTTGATCAATGACATCCCTCTGTGAATCATTTTTAAGCCACCATTGCTACTGAAAAAATTTAAAGTATAATGGTAAAAGAATACTGGGAAAAGGCTGGGAACGTGACTTAGTGGTAGAGTGCTTGCCTACTCTGCATGAAGCCCTGGGTTCCATTCCTCAGTGCCACATAAACAGAAAAACCAGAAGTAGTCCTGTAGCCCAAGTAGTAGAGTGCTAGCCTTAAGCAAAAGAAGCTCAGGGACAGTACTCCGGCCCTGAGTTTAAGCCCCAGGACTAGCAAAAAAGAAAAAGAATACTGAGATAAGAATATCTGTAATCCTAGCTACTCAGGAGGCTGAGATCTGAGGGTGGAGGTTTGAAGCCCATCCAGGCAAGAAAGTCTGTGAGACTCTTATTTCTATTCTACCAAAAAAGGCTGGAAGTGGCACTGTGGCTCAAATGGTAGAGGGCTGGCTTTGAGAAAAGAAGCACAGGGATAGTGCCTAGGCTCTGAGTTCAAGCCCTAGGAGCAGCATCAAAATAATAATAATAAATTTTCATATTGCTTCTAGCTGTCTGAAGAAGTAGGTACTTACCAAGCGATTTCTTTTTAGCACCAAACATGATTGCAGCCTGTCTTTCACTAGGTCTTGATGGTTGGCCTAAACAAAAACCAAGAGAAACCCTCACCATTAGTATTTGAAAAACACTGAATAAGCAGACATACACACTCTTTCATTCTCTGAGAACAGCTTAGAGGTCTAGGAAGTGACTGACACAATAAAGAGTAACAGATTCCATTATCAAGCCTAAGTCTAGCCAGATTGTAGTAGTTCCAGAAAAAAAAATAACCATCTACATCATAAATGTGTTGGGACTTGGGAACCTGCATCCCAAAGGGACAGCTTCAAGAGCAAAGTTTGCCAGACACGGATGGCTCAAGCCTGTAATCCTAGCTACTCCAAAGCCTGAGACCTGAGGGCGGAGGTTTCATGCCAGCCGGAGACTTACCTCCAATAAATTACCAAAAAGCCAGAAGGGAATGGCACAGATTCCCTACAATAGATGGGTGGACCCAAAAACTATGGTACCTATGCACAATGGAATTTTACATCGCTATTAGCAAGAATAATATTATGTCATTTGCAGGGAAACGGATAGACAGAGAACAAATCACGTTACATGAAGTAAGCCAAGCTCAGGGAGACAAACAGCACAAGTTCTCTCTCATGTGCCGAAACTAGATCTATAATACACCAGGGCATGATAAATTCTATAAGACTCTAGGCATTCATGCACAGTGAGACCAACGGAGGATGCTCTTAAAGGAGGAATACAAAGGTGCAAGGCCTATATGCATATGATCATATAAAATAATATTTATGGAAATGAATTCCAGGAAATAGAAACAAGAGGTTTTTCTTTGTTGTTGACCTTCTTTTCTTTTGGTCTTGTTTGTCCATGTATCTGTCTTTGGAAGGGTAATGGGGGGGGGGGGGGGTCATAGTAATGGAGGATCAAAGGTAAACACACACAGCAGTGCTACCCATAGACACTATGTTGAAAATGAACTATTCAACTTATGGGAGGAAAACAACTTGTGGGAGGGAAAAATTTTAAGTGAGAGAAGGGGTGACACTGTCCAAGAAAAAGTATTCTTTACCTGACTTATATAACTGTAACCCCGTTTTATATCACCTTTATAATAACAAAAAAAATTTAAAAACTCAAAAGTAGAGCTGTGGCTCAAGTCATTGAGGGCGAGCCTTGAGCAAAAAAATCAACCAAGCAAGAGTCCAGGATCTTGAATTCAAGCCCCACAACCAAAACTAAAATAATAAATAAATAAATGACTGCCAGGTGCCAGTGGCTCACACCTGTAACCCTAGATATTCAGGAGGCTGAGATCTGAGGATCATGGTTCCAAACCAGCCCGGGCAGGAAAGTCCATGAAACTCTTATCTCCAATAAATCACCAGAAAACTGGAAGTGGCACTGTGGCTCAAGTGGTAGAGCGCTAGCCTTGAGCTGAAGAGCTGAGGGATAGCGCCCAGGCCCAGAGTTCAGGCCCCACGACCAGAGCCCCCCCCCCCCCCCAAAAAAAGAAGTTGTTCAATCATACAGGGACCGGAGAAGAGGAAGAATGGTGTTGATGGCTTAGTAGTTTCCAAGAAAAGAGACCAGAGAGGAAGTTCATCATTCCCCACCTCTCCTATGAACCTCCTAGAATCTCAAATACCTGAAACCGTCAGGATGTCTTCCTGTTGTACCCTTCTCATTGGGCCTCCCAACTGGAGCCACTAGCACGAGCACTAGCTTTCCTAGGCCCCGTATTACCAAAATGGACAAATCCAAGCAAGAAGACAAAGTACTGCTCAAGCAGGAAGGGAGCTCAACTCAAAGGATCAACAGCTCCCTTGTTCCTTCCCCTGAGCTTTCTACTGTCTGGCTCCAAGGCCGCCTGCCCCACAGCATCCCTCCTAACCTCTTTCTGCTGCCCCATCCCTAGGCAGTCCCCCGCCCACCCCAGAGTAGGCCTAGGGCCTTTCTGCTGACCAGCACGCGCCCTTTCCCTGTACTCTTCACGCATCTCCCTTGGACACCCAGAGATCAGTGTTCACATCCAAACCAGACTCATAGCTGGGCGCACCTCTGTAATCCTAGCTACCCAGGAGGCTGAGATGTGAGGATCCAAGTTCAAAAAGACAGGCCGGGCAGGAAAGCCTATTAGACTGTTACCTCCAACAACCCACCAAAATAGCCTAAAGTGGAGCTGTGACTCAAGTGGTAAAGCGCTAACCTTGAGTGAAAAAAAGCTCAAGGACAGTGCCGGGCTCTTATGGTCAACCCGAGGACCAGCATCAAAAATAGGCCAAGTCTTTTCTGTGAACTATAACTTAGACCAAACTGAATTTGCACCTATGAAGAACTTCCTTTGCTCTTTGTTACATATACACATGGTACCAGCAGGTACAAAATGACATTAGAGCCAGGCAGCAATGGCTCACATCTATAATCCTAGCTACTCAGGAGGCTGAGATCTGAGGATCGAGGTTCAAAGCCAGCTCCAGCAGTCAGGTCCATGAATCTCCCATTAACTACCAGAAAACCGCAAGTGATGCTGTGGCTTAAAGTGGTAGAGCACTAGCCTTGAATGAAAGCACTCAGGAACAGCGCTCAGGCCCTGAGTTCAAGCCCAACAACCCACAAAAAGAAAAAAAAAATGACATCAGGAGGGTTCACGCACAAACCGTGTAGAATGACAGTTGTATGTGGTGGCCCTACCCGGCTGGGGAAGAACAGCTGCTCTAGTCTAAGGTTACTTGTTAGGGCTTGAAAATTCTCTCTGAGGACTGAAGTCCACATGCTCTTGTTTTCTCTGGCTCAGATTCCCTGGAGCATGAAGAGGGAAGAATAATTCTCTAAGCAAGGTAACAAGAAGGGACTTGCAGGACAGGAAACGATGAGAATTTAAGCAGGGGGTCAACAACACTTAAGATGTTAATAGGAATGCTAGCCAGTGGCTTCCTCACTATTAGTTTGCTAGATTGGTCTGAAAGAGAAGTATAAATAACCAGTAGAATATATATAAATAACCAGCTGCACCTAGCCTAGCGCTGGTGGCACATGCCTGTAATCCTAGCTACTCAGGAGACTAAGACCTAAGGATCATGGTTCAAAGCCAGCCCAGGCAGAAAAGGCCATGAGATTCTTATCTCCAATTAACCACCAGAAAACTGGAAGTGGTGCTGTGGCTCAAAGTAGTAGAGTCCTAGCCTTGAGCAAAAGAGCTCAGGGACAGCACCCAGGCCCTGAGTTCAAGTCCCATGACAACAACAGCAAAAATAAAAACAAACCCCCCCCCCAAAAAAAGATGCACCTAAATATACTTCTGCAAAATAACTATGGGAAAATATCCTTTTGTTTCGTAGCTCTTCCAACAATTGCTTCTCATTTTGAAGACTCCTAAATAATCCATCTTAAAGCAATAACCATATCCTTCCTAAAATTACTTTTTTTTTTTTTACCGTTTTACCCTAAAATTACTTTTATGCCTTACTGTTCAGAGTTTTATTGTTTTTCAATTCAACACAACAATTTGAGTACAATGCATCTTGATCAATGTCAGCCCTTCCATGTTATAATCTTACTTTTAATTTTCTCTAATACAACCTTTCCAAAATTGTTGTTTTGTTTTTGTTGGTTATAGGGCTTGAACTCAGGGCCTGGACACTGTCCCTGAGCGTCGGTGCTTGTGGTAAGCACTCTGCCACTTTGAGCCACAGCTCTACTTCCTGTTTTCTAGTGGTTCATTGGAGATAAGAGTCTCAAGGACTTTCTTGCCTGGGCTGAAACCCAGAACCGAGATCCTCAGATCTCTGATTCCTGAGTAGGTAGGATTATTGGAGTGAGCCACCAGTGCCAAACACAAATTGCCTTTTTTGGGGAGTGGGGGGGGGGGGGTTGGTCATGGGCCTGAACTCTGGGCCTCAGTGCTGTCCCTCAGCTCTTCAGCTCAAGGCTAACACTCTACCACTTGAGCCACAGTGCCACTTCCGGTTTTCTGAGTGGTTTATTGGAGATAAGAGTCTCATAGACTTTCCTGCCTGGGCTGGCTTTGAACCACAATCCTCAGATCTCAGCCTCCTGAATAGCTAGGTGGCATGAGCCACCGGAGCCCAGCTTCCAAATTGCCTTTTAAACCCTTCATTTTGAAGATATATCTTTTGAATGAATCTGTCTAATTTTAGCCATTTTTGCTTTGGGACAAAATATCTCCTTTAGTGATTAGCCCAGAATGATCTATAATCACTTTTGTATGAATTAAACCATATATCTATGTGCTTTTAGAAGTGTGTGTATGTATGCACACGTGCATATCATGTGTCCATGGGAGGTGAGGGTTTCCTAGGATTGAACTCAGGACCTGGGCACTGTATGAGTTTTTTTAGTTCAAGGCTAGCACTCTACCCCTTGAACCACAGCTCCACTTCCAAATTTTACTGGTTAATTGAAGATTAAGAATCTCATGGACTTTCCTTTCCTGTGCTGGCTTTGAACTGCAATCCTCAGATCTCAGCCTCCTGAGTAACTAGGATTACAGGCGTGAGCCACTGGTTTTGTGCTGCTGAGGAATGAACTCAGGGCCTTGCACTTACCAAGCAAGTATGCTTCCGCTGAGCTAAATCCCCAATCCCAGGAGCTATGTTTTATTAGTGATCTTACTCAAGTGCTTTTTCTCCCTGAAGAACTGACCTTCAAGCCCCTATTTCTTCTGATCCAGCTTTTTCCTGGTTACAATTGACACCTGGCATCATTCGTAGGAGATTCATACAAATGTAGGTTTCTAGTTAAACTTCCAGAAGGTAAAATTTCATCTTTCCACTGGTGCACATTTATCAACTCACCAAAATGACCTAGCTGACCCCAGCTCCACTTCTGTAGGACGCTGGAGGAAAGAAAAAAATCATCTTTTGTAGAACCTTTGGGTCAGTGAAGGCCTGCGGAAACACAACAAACAAAATCAGCTAAGAAGGTGGGCACTGAGCCTCAATTCTGTAATCCTAGCTATTTGGAGTCAGAGATCAGGGGATTATAGGCCACAGTCCCCACCTCCACCCCAAAAAAGCATCAAAGATTCCATCTCCACCAGTGGCAACAGGAAGAAGTATAAATAGGAGTATTTCAATCCATGCCTACCCAGGTATAAACTGGGACCCTATCTCAAAAATAACCAAAAAAAGGAGCTAGTGGCTTGGTTCTAGTAGTAGAGTACCTGCCTAGCAAGCTCTAGGTCCTGAGTTCAAACTCTAATACTACTACTACTACTACTTCTTCTTTTCCCTTTTTTTTGTTTTCCTGGTCCAAGGGCTTGAATTTAGGGCCTGGACACCGTCCCTGAGCTTCTTTTGCTCATGACTTGTGCTTTGCCACTACAGCCACAGTTCCACTTTTGGATTTTTTGATAATTTATTGAAGATAAGAGTCTCGTGGACTTTCCTGCCTGGGCTGGCTTTGAACAGTCATCCTCAGATCTCAGCCTCCTGAATAGCTAGGATTACAAGTGTAAGCCACCAGCACCTGTCTAACCCAATGCTGCTTTAAAAAAAAAATCAGATATGGGCTGGGAAGGTGGCTGAGTGGTAGAGCGCTTGCCTTGCATGCCTGAGGCCCTGGGTTCGATTCCCCAGCACCACATAAGCAAAAAAGAAAAAAAGCCGGAAGTGGTGCCGTGGCTCAAGTGGTAGAGCACTAGCCTTGAGCTGAAGAGCTGAGGGACAGTGCCCAGGCCCAGAGTTCAGGCCCCACAACCGGACCCCCCCCCAAAAAAAAAATCAGATACAAGAATATTAGCCATTGTTAATAAGCATTTGTTCATTCTGGTACAGCATGAATGAAGTTCAGTATATTTCTAGAAAATCTGCAAGTGTGTCTTTATAGAGGGAATGCTATAGAAGCACATATGTTCTCTACAATATTATTGAAGTGCAAATCATTCAAAAATTAATCACGAAAACTGCAATCAGAAAAAAATCAGATACAAGAATATTAATTTAAAAAAGTAAACTCTAGAAGTAGGAATTTAGGATTCTAAAGTTCAACCATTTGCAAATACTGAAGTGAACAAGAGTTACATGGATATATTTCCCATTTTTAAAACTTACCCCAAAGCAAAGGAAATAGAAAAGTAAACGCTGTTGGTCAGGTGTTGTCTTATCCTTGACTTCATCCCATGCAAAGATTAAAATGATGCACTGGGTACTGATGGCTTGTCCTTGTAATCCTAGCTACTCAGGAGGCTGAGATCTGAGGATGGAGATTCAAAGCCATCCTCAGCAGGAAAGTCCATGAGACTCTCATTTCCAGTTAACCACCAGAAAGCTGGAAATGGAGTTGTCACTCAAGTAGAACAGCACTAGCCTTAAGCAAAAAAGCTCAGGGACAGTGCCTAGGCCTTGAGTTCAAGCCCCAGTAATGGCAGGGGGAAAACACACACAGACACACACAGACACACACACACACACACACAGACACACAGACACACACACACACACACACACACACACACACACACACACACACACACACACACACACACACACACTTCAAATTATCGTTTCCTTGTATAAAAGGCAAAAATCTAGTAATGTTTTACATATATATGAAAGAAGTATGGGGGGAAATAGAGAAGAATCAAATTAACAAAAATAATAGCTAAGGAATTTATAAATATATTCACTTTAGAATATATGTTTTAGAATATATTTGTTTTTTTTTTGTCAGTCATGGGGCCTGAACTCTGGGCCTGGGCGCTGTCCCCCAGCTCTTCAGCTCACAGGCGAGCGCTCTACCACTTGAGCCACAGCACCGCTTCCTGTTTTCTGAATGGTTTATTGGAGATAAGAGTCTCAGCGGACTTTCCCGCCCAGGCTGGCTTTGAACCATAATCCTCAGATCTCAGCCTCCTGAGTAGCTAGGATGACAGGTGTGAGCTACAGGCGCCCGGCTTTATATGTATCCTTTCTATACATATAAATTTAAATTTTCAGATTAAAATTCTAATTTTTAATCTTAAAATGTTGTCATTTTTCAGAAAGCGTTAGCAATTGAAAGTTGACTTCCATGTGGATTTTCTTCCCTTTCATCTTTCAAATTTCATGTTTGAATCTTGGTTGCAGAAAATAATTCTTCTAGTAAAAGAAATGGCAAAGTCAAAGGCAGACTTGAACTGACACAGGAAAAGTAAAAGAGTTGGTTCCAGACACCTTGACCTTTGCATAGACACAGCATGACAAGCTGGTGGTGCTAGTTACCAATCGGCACTGGGAGGAAGGCACTTTGTCCAAGCTCAATGCCTTACAGTGAACACTGATCTGCCTGGGTATTCATGACTCAGTGCTTTAAGCAAAGGATTAAAATGATTGTTCCCTGTGTGAAGATCTGGGGCCAATCACCAATCAAGTGATTACAGACAATTCCCCCTGCTCCCGTGCTACCTCACCCAGCAACACACTGGTAATAATTACACACTGGTAATAAATTGCTTTCCCGGAGAACCCTTTCCCACAGGAAAAGGACACACTAGTCATATTAAAGAGAACATTCTGGTTTTCCTGACAACTGTATCAAATATTCCCAATTTAAAAGTTGTCATTCTTCTTGTGTGTTGTGGTTCTGAGACTTGAACTCAGGGCCTGGGCGCTGTCCTTAGCTTCTTTACGCAAGGCAGGTAGGTACTCTACCACTTAAACAGTACCATTGTTCTACTCCTGGCTTTTTAATGGCTAGCTGGAGGTAAGAGTGTCATGGACTTTCCTGTCAGGGCTGACTTTGAACTTCAGTCTGTAGAATTCAGCCTCCTGAGTAGCTAGTACTACAGGCGTAAGCCACTGGTGCCTGCCTTAAACACATGTCTGTCATTTATTAAAACATTTAAGACTTTTGTTCATTGGTGTCTACACAATTACTATAGAATGCATACATGTACAGTTATCATTTCAGAGACTAAATCAGCCAATTTTATCTCATCACTTGCTTAGTTTACCCCTGGAAGATAGATCTGCTCTTAGTTTGCTATTGAATTATAGTCCTAAGTCTCCAGAACAAATTGATCACTGCAGCCATACATAGTAAACTCACCAAAGGGCCCCCCAGGAAATCGCCTGTCCAAACCGCACCAGACAGCAGGAGGTGATGGTTAGAAGCTTGAATTGGATGTCAGACAGCTTGATGTGTTTCCAATTTGTTCGACTATGTTATTAAAGGACCTGGGTTGAAACTCTCAAGGCAAACCTGGGTGGCTGTGGAGACAGAAGCACAAAATGAGAGGTCTTTAACACTAATTATCAAGGCAAACTTCTGAACATGTGTATGTGTGTGCTGATACTAGGACTTGGAACTCAGGGCCCTACATTTTCACTTAGTTTTTGTTTTTTTTTTTTTCTCAAAGCTGGCACTTTACCACTTGAGCCATAGCTCCACTACTGGCTTATTGGTGGTTAGTTAGAGATAAGAACTTCAGGGAAGCCAGGTGCTGGTGGCTCACTCCTGTAATACTAGATACTCAGGAGGCTGAGATCTGAGGATGGCAGTTCAAAGCCAGCCCAGGCAGGAAAGTTCGTGAGACTCGTATCTCCAATAAACCACCAGAAAACTGGAAGTGAAGCTGTGGTTCAAGTGGTAGAGCGCTAGCCTTGAGCAGAAAAGCTCAGGGCCTGAGTTCAAGCCCCATGACCACCACCAACACCACCAACAACAAAAAGTCTCATGCATTTTCTGGGCTGGCTTCAAACCATGATCTCATCCTCAAGTCTTAGCCCTGAGTAACTAAGATTACAAGCTGTTCCCTCTCCTCTGAGCCTTTCCCTTCCTTCTCCTGATCGTCTCCTTCCCTCACTTCCCTCACAACTGGGGCTTTTGATTTGGTCATCTTCCTTCCTTCCCCTTCTCACTTCTCCATTTCTCTACCAGTTCTGGACCCAGCTCCCCCGCCTCCCCAGGTCTGGTCCCGCTGACCCTGTCACTACCAGCAAGTTCCCCTCCATTCTAAGTCTGCGTTTTCTCATCCATCAACATAACTCATAGGGTTATTAGAAAACAAAATCAAGCCATGCCTGTGATCCTAGCTACTCAGGAGGCTGCGATTTGAGGATCCTAGTTCAAAGCCAGCCCAAGTAGGAAATTCCTCAAGACTCTCATCTCCAATTAAGCACCCAAAAGCCAAAAGTGGCTTAAGTGGTAGAGTGCTAGCCTTGAACAACAAAAGCACAGGGATAGCACTTAGGCTCTGAATTCAAGCCTCTGGAGTGGCACCAGAAAAGGAAAGAAAAAAAAAAGGAAAGGAAGGAAGGAAGGAAAGGAAGGAAAGGAAGGGAAGGGAAGGGAAGGGAAGGGAAGGGAAGGAAGGAAGGAAGGAAGGAAGGAAGGAAGGAAGGAAGGAAGGAAGGAAGGAAGGAAGGAAGGAAGGAAGGAAGGAAAAAGAAAAAGAAGGATGTGAAGGGTCAGGAAAAGTTCACTGAATGAAATACATTAAGGACAGGAATGGAGAGAGAGAGAAGACTGAAGGGCACTATTGGCTCATGCCTACAATACTATTCGGGAGGCTAAGATTTGAGGATTGAGGCTGGAAGTCAGCCTGGACAGTAAAGTCCATGAGACTCATCTCTTATTAACTACCAGAAAGGAGAGGGGGAGGGAGATGGGAGGAGAGGAGAGAGGAGAGGGGGGTGAGAAGCAAGGAAGAGAGGGAGGGGGAGAGAAAGAAAGAGGAAAGAAACAGAAAGCGGAAGAAAGGAGGGAGGATGGAGGAAAAGAAAAGCAAGGCAAAGTAGCTTGGTTAGTTTTATTCCAAGGAGAGTGACAATTTCCAATTTGCTTCAGTAGTTTTATCTACTAAATGAAAATTTCCAATTAACATGTGAACAAAATCAAATA